ACATATCCAATGACAAAAACACACATTTAGTTAATTTAAAATCTGATATGCCTGTGATATATCATAGCAATTGAAACTCTTTTAACTATATAATTAAGAATAAGCTAGCGGTGGACTTACCTCTCAGCCATCTTCAAGATCTCTGGGCAATGAACTTGATAGCTAATGACCTTTTGGCAATCTTTAATACGGACACAATACCTTTGTAGGTAGCTGAGAAAGAAGAGTGTTTTTCTTTTTTCTTTTTTGTTATAGTTTGATGAGCTCCAGGGGTGACAAGATCATATATATATATATATATATATATATACATACATGACTCAAAAGATTGGGACTACTTTAAGTTATTCCAAAATTAACACTTAAGTTATTCCAAAGTTAACACTAAAAGTTAAAATCAATATTGTTACTTACATATTCCTATTCTTTGCTTCAAAACACAAACGCATTAGAAAAATTAAAAGTGCAAATTAGAAAAGAAAAAAAAAGAGTAAAAAATGCATCCAAATTGATTTCCCAATCAGAAAAGGATATTGACCTGAACTTAGAGCATTATTCTTTAAGAGAGCCCATGAGAACTTTCAATCAAACCCACTGCACATGATATGTTTAAGCTTCAAAATTTAGATAGCTCTATGTAATTATACAAATAAATGCCGCCCATAGAATCTTAACAAGTTTTATTTAAGATTTGTTAGTTTTTTTTTTTTTTTGAATTTGAATTATGCTATTTTTAATACTAATTTGAAATTAAAAAACTCTTATAGATATGTTTGAGCTTTTTTCCATATGTTAAGTAAAGAATGAGAATATCTAACTACCAAAGTTAAGTCTCATGTTAACTTTAGTGAAAAGCAAGTAGAGTCACATTAACTTCAAGTATTAGATCCCCTTCTTATCAATTAGAAAAGTTAAAAAGAAAACTATATCAACAGAATGATTCTCTGCTCTACTAAATACGTAAGTACATATGGGATAGCTATATATATATTTTGATACTAATCCCTCGATATATGAAAGTCATATTGGATCTTGACTAACCCAGATCCAAAGTTGAGCTGCGTCAGACCCCATAAGGGAGAATCTCCTCCCATTGCCTATTTCTTTATTTATAAGACTCAAACTCGAGATCTTGTTTAAAGGGAACCAAGCTCCTTCCACTTAAACCAATAGGTGTTGGTGGATAGCTATATATATGACAAATGCTCTAGTGAGCTTTCTAATTCCTTCCTTTGTCTTAGTAATAATACTTACAAACTGCTTAAGCACCCTATGCAAGTGTTACATGATAGACGAAAAGTTTACACATCATGGCAAATAAATTTAGGGGCTTGGATGAAAAGAAAGATCCCCAATCACATGCTTTTCTCCATGTGTTGAATTAAGAATGAGAATTAAGAACGAGAATATCTAACTAACGAAGTTAAGTCACGTGTTAACTTTAAGTAAATAATAAGTAGGGTTGAATTAACTTCAAGTATTAGATTTTTATCTTGTTGAAAAAAAAAAAGGAGAGGACAAACCACACACAACTTTGCCTGTAGTAGAAAATCTTATTGTGTATGAAGGTGTGAAGATAGTAGCACTTCATTTTTTGAAACCTGAAATAGGAAAGAATAGGAAGTTACAAAAATTATGATTGCTAATGATAAAACCAATCAAACTAATTGCATGCAACTTTAAGGATAGCATCAAATAGGAAAGTTACAAAATATATTGAAATTGGATAAAGTAGCCCTTGTCTATTTCAAAGTTTGTCACATCTTAGAAGAAGGAAAAGTTGGGGCCAAAGCAAAGTAGTTGTCCACTTTCTTGGTGGCCTTCCATAACCTCAGCCCATGTTTAGTGTGGGCCAGAGCAGGCCTGTTGTGCGCTTGGCAGCATGCAGCTAGAACAGGCCTGTGCACAAAAGGGAGAAACAACGCCTGAAAACAATCTAGACTTTAGAGATGATGAACAAGAGAGAAGCCCAATTGGGTAAAAGGCTCAAAATTTTGGGTCCTGCAAAAATTTCTTAAGCATGAACAAGAGCAAGAGTTGGAGAAACATGTGCACCAAAAACATAAGTGGGAACTTATAGAAAGTGGAGGGTAGAAACGTAAAAAAATACTTCAAGAGGAAAAAAAATGGAAAATTGATGGAGGAAAATTGGCAAAGCACAATACTTGTTTGATGTAATTGTAACTTCAAGAGAAAATACTTTTGAATAGCATTTTTGGAGGGGGAGGCAAATTTTAACAAAAATTTTTTTAAAATATATTTTTAGAAGGCTAATGGGCTTCCTTCACTTTTAGAGTAGAAAAGTTTGTTTTAATATATATTTTTTAATTTTGGAGTTACATGATAACAATTAATCATATTTCATTTTTTTTACTTACCTTTGTCCTTACATAGCATATTGTTGAAACGTTAAATGAAACATCTTTTACTTTTACTTAAAAGAAACTATCACTAAGTTGTTATTTAATTGTATAAAAAAATATTTTATAACATGAAGTGTAAAATAACAAATTCTTAATTGTAATTGTTAGTACACTCGGGAGAAAGATTTGAAAAAAAAAAGGTGGTCTAACTTTTGTTATTTTCTAAGGAACAGTCCACGTGCTCCTAGTGGTAGTAAAATGTAACAATAAGAAATAGAGAGATTATAATTTTGTTTTAGTAGAAATTTTGGACCTACTTAAATTCCCCCTAAAAAAATAAAAATAAAAAGTTAAATCTCAATTTT